ATTTCCCTGATTGTTAAGAAAGTTAAGAATCTTTTGGGAATTTCCTGGAGGTCCAGTGGTTAGGACTCCATGCTTTCAAAGCTGAGGCTTTAGTCACTGGTCGGGGGAACTAAGATCCCACAAGCCATGTGACACGTCAAAAAAAAAAAAAGAATCTTTTAATATCTTGAATAGTCATCTATATTTCTTTTTGTGAATTACCTTATCATGTTTTTTGGATATTTTTTCACTGGGTTGCAGCCATTCTTTGATTATTCTTCATCCTAGTCCTTTGTCAGATGTGGTATCAAGATTTTCTCTGAGTTTGTGGCTTATCGTTATGATATTTTTGGCAAGCAGAAGTTATTAATTTTAATGAAGTGAAATTTATTCATTTTTCCCTTTTCGGTTTGTGCATTTGGTGACTTTCAAGTCCATAGAGAAGGAGGAATTCATTGTGAAAGGGAAAACTTTAAATCTTTTAGAATAAAGTACAGGAGAACATCTTTATGACCTTTGGGTAGAGAAGGATTTCTTAAGACCCCAAAAGTGCTAATCATAAACTATTGCTATGTTAACAAACATTTTTAATGATTGTGAGGATAAGACAGGAGGATAAGCTGAGCTCCAGCCACTGTTGTTTAATTATTTTCCCTGGAGAAAAATACTGCTCTGAGCCACGCTGAAGGGGTGGTTTCAGAACAATAGGCTGTGGGGACAGCCAGGGCCACTGCCTCTGTCCAAATTCCCATCCTTCTCCCCCACGCACTGGCCACCACCTTCCCAGAAGGGAGGCACAGGGACCCACAGCAGTTTCTTCACCTTTAATTCTTCTTTGTTACTAGAGCTGATGGGGGTCTGTTTCCGCTAATCTTAACTGTGGCAAAATGCTCCAGGATGTCTATTCTTCTGGTTACATATGGAATTTCCTGGACTTCAGTTGATTGCTTGGGATGGGGGCTGATTAGATGCAGCTATTTCCAGGCATCCTTGCTTTTTCTTTCCTGAAAAACCATTGTGTTAGCAACATATTTTTAGGTGGGGCTACATTATTCACATACATTTTCTTTTCTTTTTCACCATACAATTTCAAAGCAAGTTTTCTTCCAAAAACAAAAAAAAGAAGTAGCATCAAGGGCTACTTTCAACAGTCCTATTCTTTATAATACTATTTGTGTAGTCCTTGTAATATTGTACTTCTATAATTTTTATCATTTTAAGGCCCATTTTTTCCCCTGTGCAATCTCATGAGGCTTCCCTCCCCTCTCCCCTCCTTTCCCATACATCTATTTATGGATCATTATCCCCTTCTCCATCAACACCTTCTCAGCTTAGCTGAATGCTCCAGGGAGACTTGGCTGGTGTGAGGCTCTCTCATGATGAATGGGTTTCTTTTCACTCTTCCTAATGGGCTGGCTTCCACTAAGGGCAGCTAATTTCTTTGTAGCTACTTGGAATAGGTAGATTAAGTTACCAGTATTGCAGCTTATCTCATTCTGAAATCAACGATCCAGTTCACAGGATCACCACCTACAAATCTGGGGAAACTGTTACACAGAAGCCCTAGTAATTGATTAGTGGGTACTTCCTGAAATGAATCATTTACAAGACAATGCTTTGGTTCCCAGAGTATTTGTGAAGCAATTAAGACTTAGTGAGTTGCTTATTTGTTGACTGTTGGATAATGGTCACTTTTTCCTGGTGTAATGTCTGAATCTTACCCCCATTTTCTCAGTATTCTGGCCACCAGCTCTTTCTCATTTCTTTGTCCTGTGCTTCTATCTGAAACCATCTCAGGTAGATGCTTGTGAAACAGATGATCTTGAGTTTCCATCTGTCTTGGTTTGGATGGCACTGCCATGTCATGGATGTTTCGATCCCTGAAGCAAATTGTAGCCAGGATCTGCCTTCTGCCTTGCCTTCCCAGGTTCGACCAATCGTGTCAGAGGAAAAGCGAAGGGGATGCATGCGTAGAGGAGAGCGCCCTGCCTCTCCTCCTGAGACCTGGATGGCCCTGGGGCATGCTGACAGAGAATGGCTGCTCTCCAGCCCGAGGGGCTGCTTGGGGCTGGAATCCTTGGTTTTCTATGCATTAGGTATCTATGACTTTGTATATTCCAGGCACGAAATTGCAGACTGTGCCTTAAAATCTGGGTGGACGGGAAGTCAGATAATAATTGCTGTTCTGCACCAGACACTTTCTGTGAACAAGATGATTCATGCCAAGAGTTTGACTTTCAGCATCATATTTAATCTTAGAAACATTGTGTGTCCTAGATGTGATCACCCACATAAGAAACCCAAGGCTAGGAGAGGTTGGGTATATTTTCTAGGTCATTCAACAAATAAGTGAAGATATTCGATTCAAACATAGATTTATCTAACTCAGTAAGGTGCTTTTAACCACTACACTGTCCTGCCTCCCTCTTAAAAGAAATAAATGATAGGCTAGAATTACACGGTACTAACTAAAAGGAGGTTACAGAAAGGTAGGTTCAGGGTAGGCTGGAGTAGTCAAGGGCTATAAAGCAGAAGGGAGGGGTCCACAGAGAGCATCTAATCCCATGTTTCTCAAACTCTTTTTTTAAAGTTGTGGTAAAAAAAAAAAATGTAACGTTAAAAAAAATATGGAATGCTTCATGTGTTTGCACAGGCGCCATGTTGATCTTCTCTGTATCTTTCCAATTTTAGTATATGTGCTGCCCGTGAGTACTCTTAAAGTTTTTAACTTACAACCTATAACATGACATTTATTTTACATTATGACGCAGTAAATGCATGTATTTATAACTGAAACAAAATTGTACTTCACAATACTTGCCCTAGTCTATGCAGTGCACTCCACTTTTCTATTATGCTTTACATCATTCTTTAAAGATAATTCTGGTCATGGCCTCTTAAATAGACCTTATGGACTACAAATGCTGATCTAAAAACCTCAACCAATGGGGACGTTGAGGCCCAGAGATGCGTTGAGTACCTAGCGCGATGTCTTGCAAATATTAATCCCAAGTATCTTTGCTTTATCTCCTTATGTGACCCAGCACACGCATGTAGCACCTCAGTGGCGGAGCTGGGATAGAATCCAGATTTCCTGATTCCCAGTCCAGGCTTTTTCAGTCAAGGAAAGTTTGTCAAAGGGGAGGGACTCTCCCATGGCAGGGTTTCTTCCCAGGCACTGGTAGAAATAGGAGGAAACAGAGCAGCTGTGGGACACGGACACAGCCGCCACAATGGGCCTAGTCGAATGGCACAGGGCGTTAGAACAAGGCCGTCTAACTCCAAAGCCCATGCTCCTTCTGTGGTTGTCTCTCTTGTTTGCTCAGTAAAATTACCTGGGAGCTCTTCAATAATACTTACGCCCAGGTGACACTTGGATCCAATAATTAAATCCAATGATTTAGGGATGAGGGTTGCCTAAAAAGCTTCCCCAGGTGATTTTACTAGAGAGATACTGCCTCAATGCAGTGTAGAAGGTATCCCTTAAAACCCTTCCTGCTTATCCTTCAAGCCTCAGCCAAAACTACCACATGTAAACTAGATAGCTAGTGGGAAGCAGCCGCATAACACAGGGAGATCAGCTCGGTGCTTTGTGACCACCTAGAGGGGTGGGATAGGGAGGGTGGGAGGGAGACGCAAGAGGAAGGGGATATGGGGATATATGTATAAGTATAGCTGATTTACTTTGTGTTACAGCAGAAACTAACACACCATCGTAAAGCAATTATACTCCAATAAAGATGTTAAAAAAAAAAATGACCCCCTCCCAGGCCCATGGAGTCCCGACTCAAATTCACAATCAAAAAGAAACTGCCTTTTGTATGGATACCAAGGGGGAAAGGGGTGGGTTGGGAGGAATTGGGAGATTGGGATTGACAGATATACATTATTGATACTACGTATAAAATAGACAACTGATGGGAACATACTGTAATAGCACAGGGAACTCTACCTAATGCACTGTGGTAACCTAAATGGGAGGGAAGTCCAAAAGGGACGGGATATCTGTATGTGTATGGCAGATTCATTTTGTTGTGCAGTGGAGGCTAACACAACATTGTAAAGCAACCATATTCCAATAAGAATTTGAAAAAAAAGTAACTGCCTTTCTTTTCTTGTATTCATCTAGCACTGACAGATCCTCTCATCCTGTGTTTGTCTCCCCTGTTACATGATGCTCTGGACTGAATCCAGAGCTTATGCCTTACTTATCTTTGTATCCAAGTGTGTAACAAATATTTACAGAATGCCCTTTGCTCAGATGGCTCTTCTTCCCCAAACCACCCAGACCTCTGAGAGCTACTCTGATTCAGCTGTAACTCCTAATGAGGGGGATGAAAATCCCCCCCCCCCACGAATCAGTCCTACCTAGGACAAAAAGGGCGCTCACTCTAGGAGCTGCAGAATCCTGACTGGTGAAAACAGACGCTAAAGGCAGTGAGACTGCAGCATCCCTTCTCGTGTGGCTGGGCTTTCTCTCCCACGCATTCTCCTCCAGCCGTCTCCTCCAGATTTTCAGATTTCTGACAAGGCAGTGTGGTCCAGTGTTCAGAACCCTGGACAGGAAGTGGGAAAGACGGACTTCCTGTCCTGGTCATGACCGTCAGTGTGTCCTGCAATAGGCCCTCACTCTTCCGTTTTGTTAGCTGGGAATGACCACGTTCCAAACTCAATTGTCACCCTCTGCCCCCTTTCCCCTTGGGGATTATATAAGAACTCATATATGAAAACAAGCTTTGTTCAGGTCCTTGAGCTTTTCTGAGGGCAGCTTTGTATAAATATAAGATACCTTTTGTTATTGTTTGCAGCCCAGGGGATTTGCGGAAAGAAGTTGAGAGCCAGTGATGCTCGTTTTTATAGGCAGAAAATAGCTGTTGGAAAAACAACCTGGTGTGTAGAGCACAATGTTCTTATCGGGCAGACAGAATTATCTTTCCCAGGCCGTCATGAACACAAAACACCTGGTGCACACGTTTCCTGCCCCTTCACATATTTTGAAAGAAAGAGACCTTTACTCTGACCTGTCAAGCAGTGATCTTCATGAACTTCTGTCCACAGACCACGACAGTTATCTTGGCTTGCCGCTGTAGAGTTAAATGGTAAACACAGCTGATCGTCACTCATAGGGCATCTTCTCCACATATCACTCAGATCTTATCAGATCCACACATGTGTTTCTTCTTCCTTAAAATACAGCCCCTGGATGGGCTAAGAGTCAGGGCCTTCCTGACACATCCACCCAACACTGAATTGGGTGCTGTTGAGAAGATAGGAAACTTGAAGACTTGATCCTGACCTGGCCATGGATTAAAACCTTTGAAGGGAAAAAAAAATAATAAATCCACTAAAAACATTTAGAGAACCATACAAATCTATTCGTAGTAAGACTCACTCCCTACTTTAAAGACTCAGGTGTTTAAAGAAGGTAGAAATCAGTGTGGAAAAGCTCCCTGGAAGATGAGGATGCAATATACATGGAAGGTGCTCAATAATGTCAGTTAAGTGAACAAAAGAAACTGGAGATGGGCCTTGAATGACAAAAAGCGTTTGAAATGGTGGACGAAGGGGCAAATAACCATACTGGGAAAGCCAGAGTTTAAGGATTGACTTTGGAGTGAAGCTGATTGACCTGGGTATGCCACTCACAAACTGTGATTCTGAGCATGTCACATAAGCTCTCTAGACTTTACTTTCCTCTTCCATTGTAAGTCAGTACTAACAATATCTCTATCATAGGTTTGGGGAAGAATTAAATGAGATTAATGTAGGCAAAGTTCTTAGCCCAATGCCGGGCATATGGTAACTGTTAAACGTTTATTTATTGTTATTGTTGTTATTAGTACTAGGGAAAATATAAACAAAGACAGGAATTGCTCAGTCTGAAAATATTTTCCCCTTAATAAAATAATCAGAATACTTGGCATTAAGTGATACTGATGTAAATTTGAGCAGCCAGCGCCTGCCTATTGCAGTGTTGGAAAGAAAATGTATATTTATGCCTCCCTCAAGCTCTGATTTTCTGCCTCTTCCTTTCTTTCAGCACCCTTCCCCATCCCCACTACCCCCATATCCCCATGGCACCACAGAGAGCCCACAATCTCTCTTCTTTGCCCTCACCTTCTCTCCTAGCCTGGTGAGAGACTGGTGAGTCATAAGGATGGACATGCAACTGTAGCCTTTCAGGCAATGATGACAGGCTATGGGTTCTGGGGACAGAGATTCCCTTGAATATTTCTTGATGCTATCAAGTCAAATATAGACAGCTAACCACCTCTAACACAAGAAGTGCTCAGCAGGAGAATTCCGAGTTCCTTTACAGATCAAATTTTCAAGAGAGAAAAACAGGAATTCTTCATTCTTTTCCTTGAAGAGGCATGGATTGGACCACAGCACCATAGCTAAGCCATGATGTCACAGGTCATTAGGGCTGCCGGTAGCTGCACTCAAGAGCCTGATGCCGGCATCTGCTTGTTGAGCTGTGAGCTCCCACTTCTCTCCCTGCCCAGTGTTGACCATCATATTCCTACTGAAATGGTCTTGGTCTCATTCCCAGGTTCATAAGGCTCTCTTGGCTGCAAATTACCTACAGTATAAAAGCCAAACTTCTCATCCTGGCAGATAATCCATCCCCTTCACCTCCATCCACTGCCTTCTTCTCTGTCTCCTCCTCATCTCCTACCGTGATAAACTTCTCCCAAGTGCGCCCCCCAACACCACACGCTTTCAGGTCATTGTCCTTTGATCTGAACCCTTTCCCTAACCTTCACCTAGTCAACTCCTGCTCATTCTACCAGAACCAACTCCAATATCATTTCCAAAGTCAAAACCATCATCTCTTCACCAGCCTTTGGATTCTACAGTTCTTTGTTCTGGGTTGCTTGGACTCCAAAAGTTTAGCATATACTAGATGCTTGAGAAATATTTCTTGAAAGAATAAATGAGTTCTGACATCAATAACAGCGTTTATTACGACGTATGATAATTGCCTACTTACTTGTTGGTTTCTTCATAGGCTGTGAATTTCTCAAAAGAATAAGGTGAAGGGAAATTGTGTCTTTTATATCTGTATTCTAGGACCCTAGTACAGTGACTCATAAGGTAGGCTGTAAGTCGAAGTGTGACGAATTTAAAAATTTCTAATATATTTTTTGCAAAAATATTTTTTTCTCATTAGGCATTCTTTCTTTTATGATTTGGCTACCCTCCTCTCTTAATGTTGAGTTGAGGAAAGGGATAGGGAGATGTTTCCAGAATATAGCTGAGAATATGAAAAGCAGGAAAGCAGGGGAAGCCTGCATTAGGTTAGAGTCTCTGGAATCAGAGGCTGAGTCTCATGCAAGTGCTGTCAGGGACATCTTGTAAAAGAGCGAGGGAAGCAAGACAGGGGCATGGGCGAAACAAAGCGAGATGTGGATTCGGCTACAGTCCAGCCTCAGCCCAATCCCACGGGAAGTTCCGGGACAAGGGACAAGGATGGCCTCAGAGAATTACCCCACCCGGAGGCAAAGAGGTTGGGATTTTATACCCCTGGATTAGTAGTTGGCTGCAACCATGCCAGAGGTAGGGGGACACCTCCCAGGCATGTCTGGGTGGAACAGCTCCTGTGGACCAAGAGTGAGTCTTCAGGGAAGGGTCCAGCTGCAAGCATTGGTCATCAACACTCACAGCAGCTGAGTGACAAGAGAACTAGTCTGGGAAAGGGATCTGAGCAGCACAACAATAGCTCCTACCATACCCCTACAAATAAAGATGATAGAAAGTGCTTCCTCCTAGGAGGATTATGCAAACCTTTATTTAAAACCTATCTCCTCCTACTTCATCAACAAGTCTATCTGGACCAGGTGCTCACTCCTTAACAGATTAGAAACAGCAAGATAGAAGAGGGTGCAGAGACTGTTAAAGGTAAGTGCAGGGCTTCCCTGGTGGCACAGTGGTTGAGAGTCTGCCTGCTAATGCAGGGGACACGGGTTCGAGCCCTGGTCTGGGAGGATCCCACATGCCGCAGAGCAACTGGGCCCGTGAGTCATGGCTGCTGAGCCTGCGCGTCTGGAGCCTGTGCTCCGCAACGGGAGAGGCCGCGATAGTGAGAGGCCCGCGCACCGCGATGAGGAGTGGCCCCCCCTTGCCACAACTAGAGAAAGCCCTTGCGCAGAAACGAAGACCCAACACAGCAAAAATTAATTAATTAATTAATAAACTCCTACCCCCAACATCTTCAAAAAAAAGAGAAAACCACAGCTTTAAAAAAAAACAAAAAAACAAAAAAAACCCCACAGCCTGCTTCCAAAGGCACACCCACATTAAAAGAAAAAAATAAAAAAGGTACGTGCACCAATAGAAGCCAAAAAGAAACAGGAACTCCAAAAAGCACAGCAGTGTGGAACCTTGTAGTGTAGTGCCCTGGAGCGTTGTAAATTAAAGTCTAAAAAAACTGAGATTGACAATGATGCCCTAAGTCAACGATGCCCTAAGTTAATGATGCCTTAAACAAGTTGTGTTTTGCATTCTATGTTTAAAAACACGGGGTGATGTGCCATGTCATTTTAAAAGATTTCATTCGAAATTTGGAAGCTTAAGAGATGTGAATAATTACACGGACATTTTATTTTTGCAGATTATCTCCTTCCCTGCCAGCCCCTGAATAAGTGAGGTGTTACTGAACTACATCTTGGAAAACATCTGACCTCCAGGAGCCGTTGAAACTCCTTGGATAGTAGCACAACTTCAGACTTGTTTAAACGTTCTGACAGTTCTGATGCCACCTGGCACATGTGATTACATAATCAGAGCTGATAGAAACCTCTGATCACCACATACACACAGTCTGGTTATAGAGCAAGCTCTAGCCGGGCATCAGACACGTGGGGCTCAAGGTTCTCCACTGTCATTAACATCTGTATGACCCTAAACAAGTCATTTGTCTTCTCTGAATCTCAGTGTCTTTGCTGTAAAGGAGAAATAATCATATTTATCATATTACTATTAATATTACATTACACCGATATATGATATGTAGTATGTTATTTTATTATATTAACAATATTATTATGTCTCATCAGCCTGCTATGAGGAGCCAATGAGATAATGTTTGTGAAATTGCTTTGCAAGGGGTGAAAAATAATTAAAATGAAAATGGAGTATTTGGAAAAGTAAATACTCTTTCATTCCTTTCTTCTTTCTGATGCAATTTTTGACAGTTTTGTAAACCCATAAAACTGGCAGAATATACACGGACGCCATCTCCCATCGATTTATTCTGTCCCAGCTCTCCACCACTTGGCCTCCTAGGCCACCCTCCCGGTGGCCAGCCTGTACTCCCACTTCTAGCTCCAGTTTCAGAATGACTGCCTTTGGAGAATGGGGTTTCTCAGGAAGAATATTGCACAATCAGAAAACGCTGATCTGCCAAGGCTGTAACATTTTTTTCCTGGAGCCTTTTCAGGAATGTGTCACAGGAGGTGGGGGAGATGGGCCATGGAACAGAGAGTACTAGGCACCAGCCACCAGGTAATAAAATGTCCAAGCATTCCTTTTCAAAATCTAATGAAGGCATCAATCTTCATTAAGTCAAAGGGTCTGGGGTCCACAGCGGTGAGATTCACTGAGCCGCTTCAAAAAGCAGGAGGAACAATGACCAAAATGCAGGCCATAGAGCAAGAGACAGTGAATTCTAGAACTCGATGATGTCTGTTTTCAACAAGGGTTGAATTTGCCAATAGCTATTATCACTAAACATGAGCCCTGAGCTCAGTGTGATGCCAGAGCCAGCTTGCACCAAATCAAGAGAGCCAGTTCTTCATGGCTCTTCCCAACCCCATGCTCAGGGATGCCAGGTTGGGAGCGTGTAATCAACCCAGGTGGCAGTATTTACACCACGGAAACCAGCAGGTGCCACCAATAGGGTCCCCCACTCCCCACCCAGAGAGCCAGCTTACCGGCACACCATTGCTTAAGCTTGTATCCAAATGTCAACAAAACGTGTGGAATCCTGAAATAGCTTTCAGAAGAGCAATGTTGTTCCTGAATTTCCGTGTGAACCACTGGAGGGAAAAAGTTTGTGTATATAAATATTACAGATCCTTTGCTTTCAGATCCCAAATCACCTTCCTCATATAGCCTCTCTTTTCCTTCAGGCTGAATGTGGAGAGTGGCTACCACTGAACTGAGAAAAACCTGAGTCACCGTTACATCCTTGGCATTGTCCACTTGATTGTTTTTTTCCATGAGTGTTTCCCAGGCTCTAACCTCCATCGGTACAGAGGACCGATGGGACAGCAATTATTCTGCAGGGAGTACACCCTCAGAGCTTGAGGGATCCTGTAGAAAAGCAGGGGCAAGATGCTGCTCTCTGCTTGGAGGGAGTTTGCAAAACAGATTGGATTCAACTGAAAGAGGCCAACCTTAGGAGGAGAACATAATTTTCTTCTTTCCACACCAAACCATAGGATTAATGAAGAATCAAGGGGAATAAAAATGCAAACATGCACAATATTCACTTCCACAGACTTTTCTTTCACTAATGTCTTTGTGGCTGTAGCTGGTGACTTGCACCACTCCTTCCCATAACTTACCTAGAGGCTGAAAGGAAAAGGAGTGGGGAAGAAATTAGCATTTACAGAGCACCAACTCGCTATCAGGTCCTAGAGTGTCTTATCTAGTTAACACAGCAACCATGCAAGGAAGGTACTATTACTTCCATTTTTTCAGAGAAGGAAAGGTAAGAATTATCTAAGGTTAACCAGCTCATGGGTTTGGGAGCAGGAATTTAAATACTGGTCTCTGACTTTAGATTTTGAGCTCTTTCCACACTTTCTACTACTTTATTGACCCATGGAAAAACAAAGCCCAACTGTGGAACCAGTTCTGGAGACACAGGTGCAGGCTGAGTCTGGTCCCTTGGGGTTGGCCTTCCACAAGGATACACATTGGATTGTCTAATGAGGGAAAGCTAACAGACATTCAGGTGCAGGACTTGCCATTTCTCAGGGGCAGTTTTGAGACAAACACCAATTCTTTGTTGTCATGCTCATTGAAGATGTAAAATAGGAGAAGAGCATGGGAATCAGAGACAAATGCTGGACAAGGTTTTTAAGAATATTTTTTTCAAGCTCCTCTGTTCTATAGTCTAAGTAGCCAACTACTCCCAACTTAGCCTCAAATTACCACCTATGTTCTTTAAAGAAAAAAAGAAAAGAATGTCTTTTCCAGTAATTTTACACTGGGAGAAATACATGATGGTCTTACCTATAGACTTGGCATTGGCAATTGTGCATCATTTTGTGTCATATCCCAGGCTAAGGAATGTGACACGCTCCCTTTGGTTTCCTGGGATACACCCCAACAAAGGACTTTGTTTTTTCAGGTTTCAGTGATAAATATGTTACTGATACTCATACTTTAAATTCATAGCGTATACCAAGTCACAACTCAGTGAGGTTAACAGACAGTTTTCTTTTTAGATTTTGGATGAAGTGGCAAAGAGATACTCCATTGATTTCTGCACACTACACCTTTACACACTTGAAAACAATAATTTATGCTTCCTCTAAATCTTCTTTTCGCCTGGGCAATGACCTCATTTAATAGGCTTTTTATATTTTGGATTATGCAAATAATAGATATTCAAAAGTTAAATAATGAAAAAATTCTAATGTAAAATGATATAAAATAGGATGTTATTTTAATTGTTAGTGCACATCTTAACAAGAAATGATACCTTAGGGATTTAATGTTACCCCAATTTTTTAAATATACTAAATTTTATATACAGTTTTGTGTAAAGTATTTAAAATTTTTTATTGTGATAACCTAAAGTCCGGCAGGAGAGAAAGAAAGAGAGGGAGAGAGAGAGAGAATTATGTATGTGTTAAGTTATGAATATGCTCAGTTGAAAGTGCCTTTATGACCTCCAGATGGAAAGGTATGCAGTGGATATATGGGTCTGGAACTCAGGAGGAAAGTTTGGACTATAAGTATAGTTTTGGAATTTATCAGTATATAGACGGTAACTGGAGTCGTAAGAATGGATAGGATCATCCAGTAAAAGTACACAGACTGAGAAGAGGATAGGGTCTAGAGCTAAACCCAGAAAATCCCCTACATTTAAAATCCAGGGCTGTTCAGATGCCTAAAACCACCCAAATACTTCCACCACCTCGGGGCCCATTCCAGTGGGATTCTGTCTTCTTCTACCTGCTGGGTAAGTTCTGACCCAGAAAAGAGGCTTCACTGATACTTCAGATCATGTTGGATTCTTTTCTACACCAATGCGAAAGCTGCATCATGGGAGAATTAACATTTTAAAAAAATGGCACGGGAGAACTTAGGACGTAGGAGCAGTCAAGTGATGCAAATCCAAAGATGACTCAGTTATTAGAATTACCAGACCAGGACTTTAAATCAACTATTGTGATATGTTAAAGAAGTTACTTAAAAATATGGATATAATAGGTAAAAATATGAAGCATTTCAGGAGAACAATTTAAACACTAAAAAATAGAAAATATAAAACTGAAAAATATAATATCTAAGACACTTGGGGCTTATGAGTAGCATTTAGACACTACAGAGGAGAGTGAATGGGGAGATAGAGCAATAGCAGTTGCTCAAATTGAAGGAAAGAAAGAAAAAAGATAGAAAAATGAATAGATTATCCATACCATGAATAATATCGTTTCTAATGTACATGAATTTGAGTATGAGGAGGAGAGAAATAAGCAGGCAGAAAAACATACTTAAAGAAATAATAACTGAAACTTTCTAAATTTGATGAAAACACCAACCCATGGATCCAAGATATGCAACAATCCCCATGCAAGATAAATACAAAGAAAACCCCTTCTAAATACATGATGGCCAAATTGGTGAAACATAAAGAGAAAGAGAACATCTTAAAAGCAACCAGAAAATAAGACATACATATAGGAACAATGATATGAATGATAGCTGATTTCTCATCAGAAACTATATAAGACAGAAAACATCACAGAAGACAAGACAGAAAACATCTCAGAAGACAATGCAACACCATCTTTAAAGGAAATAAACTGTCACCATAGAATTTTATATCCAACTAAAAACATTCTTCAAAAATGAAGGTAAAATAAGGATATTTTCAGATGAAAGAAGGCTGAGAGAATTTGCTGCAAGCAAATTTATACTACAATAAGTACTAAAGAAAAATTTTCAAACTAAAGAGAAATGATACCAGATAGAAACTTGGATATACAGAAAGTAAAAAATAATGAAGAAAATAGGTAATGGGTTCTCAGTTTCCAGTCCAGCATGTAAGGAGCGTTAAGAAGTCACCACTCTGTGCTAAAAACTGTAAAAAGCTGAAGAAACTGGAAAATCAACAATTCTTCTTAGACTTCTCCGTCCGAGAAGTGAGGTCAAAGGTCAAACTGTTGCCCCTCGAATTGGAGAAACAAGTGAATACAGAGAGTCACAACTTATTGGAGCAGAAGCTCACAAGTAGGAATTTCTGTGGGAACCACTACCTGGGCAGAAAAACCTGAACTGTAATTGACAAATTGCTGGACGCTGAGTGTGGACAACTCTGAGAGTTCTCAATGAACAAGTACAATTTGAAACTAAAAACACATTTTCTTGCCTTGTAAAAAGGCATCTATTTGGCTTTTAGTACAAAATAACTCAGAAAGCCAGTTATTGAAAAAAATTCCCCAACAAATTTTAGTCACAGTCCCTGTCTTTAGCTTGGATTAGAAAACAGGAAACTACAAACCACCTAATATCTGCCCTTTTGAAGAAATCTTATTTAAAGAAAAAAAAATAAAGAGGGAAAATAAAAACAGTCCCTGAAATACAGCAGTTGGTTTTTACAGGGCCCTGGAAGCTTGCCTTAATCATTCTGGTGAAATGGAAGACATGTGGTCATTGGAATATGGCCATCTCCTTGTTTTATGCTAGTAATGATTTTCATCTGAAGGGAAGATGATGGCCTGGGCACCATTTGATGCCCCTGATGCAATCTGAGACATCAAGGTCAAGTTGCCCCAAGTCTTCCATTCCATATCTTCACTGAACCTCCCCCATATACAGTCTCTTGTCACTGGATGATGAGCGAATAATGGACTCATCAGGGTAGAAAGACACTTCATTGATGGAGCCAGCATGGCTGGGCAGCTTATACAAAATCCTCATGCTTCTGATATCCCACATAAACACAAACCTGTTGGCCGAGCCAGCTGCTATCTTGCTTCCATCAGATGATCAAGACCATCTCAGAAGATTCTTTTGAAAGTGGTGCACATTTCTTTTGAAATATCTTATTATTTACATTATCACCCTCCAAAATCAAATACTTTCAGATCTAACAAAATATGTACAAGATCTATATGAGGAAAACGACAAAATTCTGATGAACAAAATCAAAGAAGAACTAAATAAATGGAGAGATATTCCATGTTCATGGATAGGAAAACACTATATTGTCAAGATGTCAGTTCTTCTCACCTTGATCATAGATTCAATGCGATCCCAATCAAAATCCCAGCGAGTTATTTAATAGATACTGACAGACAAACTGATTCTAAAGTTTACATGGAGAGGCAGAAGACCCAGAATAGCCAACACAATATTAAAGGAGAAGAACAAAGTTGGAGGACGGATACTACCCAACTTTAAGACTTACTGTAAAGCAACAGTAATCAAGATAGTGCAGTATTCACAAAAGAATAGAAAATGGATCAATGGAACAGAATTGAGAGCCTAGAAATAGCTTTCCAAAGATATAGTCAACTGTTCTTTGACAAAGGAGAAAAAACAATCCATTGGAGCAAAGACAGTTTCTTTGACAACTGGTGTGGGAACAACTGGATATCCACATGCAAAAAGAAAAGGCTAGACACAGACCTTCACAAAAATTAACCCAAAATGATCACAGACCTAAATGTAAAATGCAAAACTATAAAACTCCTAGATGACAACATAGGAGAAAATCTAGATAACCTTGGGTATGGCAATGACTTTTTACATATAACACCAAAGGCATGATCCATGAAAGAAATTGATAAGCTGG